AACGCTGCACCATTGCACCAACCCCCAACTAGTGATGACGTACCATTACAATGTGTCGCTGGTTGGTGGCCATGTTTGCGTGTTTGCTTGTTCGTTAGACTAGTGGTCTTCCCACCGTGTGCCTTTTTCTGACTCTTATTTCTTGTAATTTTCGGCCTGGTCCCGTTTTGTCCACGCTCTGTACATTTCAATTTCATTTCTCTTTCCTTACGGTTTCCTTCTATTTTCTTCTCTTTTTCCCTGTTTCTCCCTTGTTCCGTGCCAGATGGCCTTGTCTCTGCTTGCGTTGTGAAGTACCAAGATTGAACCATGGGGGTGTAATTTTTCTCTCCGGCCCGTGATGGTGACTCCTAGTCTCAGTTGTTACCTCGCATAGCGCGCAGAGGGAGTGGAGGACTCCAGAATATCTGGCGTTGATTTCTATTGACTTCCGGACCCCTCGGGGCCATTTTATTTGAGTGCACCTTTGAAGGGTAAGTTGCCTGCGACCACGGGAAACGACCGCGTCGAGTGTTGGATCAGTACGGACATCGAAAGTACTGGGAAGAGCGAGATCGGAACGGTTTTTAATGTGAAGACAACAACAACAACAATAACAACAACAACAACAACAACAACAACAACAACAACAACAACAACAACAACAACAACAACAACAACAACAACAACAACAACAACAACAACAACAACCCTGGCCCGACCCGGTCTCAAAAGCTGATCTCGGCCTACAAGCAGTGCAACTCTCGTGGCGCCTCGAGTATGATCCGTCCCCGAATTCGAGCAGCTTGCACCTCCTCTGGCCGACACGACTCGGCCTTGACTGTTCCTTGTCTGTTTCGCCATGGGAACTGCCGGTTGAACAGCGAAAGAGGGTCCTGCGTGCTGCGCGCTACAACCTTTTATTTTTTTCGTTTGTGATTTTGTTCCTGAGTGAACGTTGTGCACATACATGCTGGTAAACCATAATCGACTTCGTAAGTCGCGAGGGAAGGGATTGCTGTACCCTTCTCGCGATAAAAAATACCTCAGGCAGGAACCGCAGGAGGAGGTCCCCCCCTCCTATGTGACCCCGGTTGGGTCGTCTAGCTAGTGGAAGTGGAGGATAGGGGCCAGAGGGGCAGACGACAGAGTCCAATGACGGGAGCAAAAAACAAAAAAAAACATGCGGTTGCTGTTATGCTCGGAATATGCTGCAAAGGTCGTAAAGTTATCGTCTCTGTCGCATAGGGCTGCACGCCGTGCTCCCGTAGGAGATGCGCATCCCCTAAGTTTTTCTCGGTGTCGATATCCATGAAGAAAACCAACGGCAGCACGGCTGGTTGAAGATACAGCCAACGACGGTCTGCCTTAGTTTTCATATATTTCTTGGTGAATATGCATGGGTCGAAAGCATAGTAAGCGTGTTGCACCTTGAATCTGCTGCGAAGTCATAGTTTGAGCGAGAAGGAGTAGATGGCCGCACAATCTTACCATTTTCGGTATTTGCATAGTGAGGTTTGACAACTAGTCGTTTGTGTAGCGGTGCGCATCTATCGCGACGGCAAGCGCATTGAGAGAATTAATAGTTCGTCAGTGGTGCTTCTAGACTAGTCATATTCTATTTTTTTTGGTATTTCATACCATACCGTTTCGCCTCAAGGCCCGCCTACTCCAGGCGGAGGCAGTGGCGGCACTGCTATACGGCTGCATGACATGGTCCCCACGCCGCGACCACGACCGGCTGCTGCAGACGACATACCACCGTCTGCTTGTGCGAGTTATCGGCTACCGGCGCAAACGAGGCACCTACCGGCAGCTGTCATACGCCCAGGCGCTGAAGAGGGTCGGCTGCCAGAGCGTGGAGGCCACTGTCCGTCAACGGCGCCTGCTCTTTGCGGGGGCCGTGGCAAGACAGCCGGACGGGCGGCTTCCGAAACGGCTGATGTTCGGAGAGTTGGTGGGAGGGGAGAACCCGGGCCGGGGAAGACCGGAGCAGAACTGGCTGACATGCCTGAAGGACGACATGAAGATGTTCGAAGCCAGGTACGGCTCCACGACCGACAAGCCGAGCGTCTTCGGAGTCCCGAAGCCAGACTGGGACGAGGCGGCGCAGGTGGAGGGGGGGGTACCGTGGCACGCGGGGGTGCTAAAGGGAGCTGAGAGGTTCATGGCCTCTTGGCACAAGGGCAAGGAGGAGGCCAGCCGACAAC